AGAGATCGGATCGTTCACGCCGTCGGCCTGCTCTGGCCCTGACCTCGAATAATGGGAGCCCAATTATTTCGAAATCTCTTAGACCCAACGACTCTGATTCCGGTTCCCGACAACAGGTAGGTATTGAACAACGGGTGCTCGTAGTTAGCACTGAAAGTGATACCGATTCGGACTGCCGGATTATCCGCGAATCTATACATCTTGATCACCACGAGGATAGTCCATTTTCTTCTAGCCGGTCTCGATCAGTTTCTTCGTCACCCTCTTCTCAATCTCACTCTACTTTGTCTGAATCAGCTTCCGTTAGTGCATCGTGTAGGTCTTTCAAAGGGGCTGATCGATATTGCCATGACTGTCGTCACTCTTCTACTCGACGCCAGTGCCACCATCGCCGATATCGACATCATGGCTCCTTCTGCCGTCATCGTAGTTCTCAGCGCAAACGTTCCTCCTCACACAGCTCATCTTCCCCACTCTCATATTCTTCCTCTTCTTCCTCTTCTTCCTCTTCTCGCCATCATCACAATAGGAGACATCGTAGATATCCTCGTGGTCACAACAAGGCGCCAATTCGATCTTCTCATCGGAGTCATCGTCATCACAGACGTCATTCAAGTCGCCATTCTGGATATCGTACTCTTGGAACTGACTCGTCCAGGTCTAGACATCCAATTAGGCAAAGTTGGGCTCACAATCAGCCGCCTACCACAGAATGGTCGCGACTTAATTCTGATTTGCCACTGAGGAACTTGCTTGCCGCGACCTCTTCAGATAATCCTATTATCATATCTGACGACGATCAAACGGCTGAGAATTCAGCTGCGAAGAACACTACTCCATCAAAAACTAGTAACCTCAAATGTTCGCACTCCCCACCTGCTGCTTCCGGATCTCCCATATTTGACTTATTACAGCTTTCACATTCGTATACCTCTCCATCGAATCCTCCACCTACAATCTCTAGATTCCATCCTCCTTTATTAACCGAAATTTATTCAAAAGAAGCAATGAAGTCACCTTCATATTCTCCCCTTGTTTCACTAGGTATCGAGGGGTCCACTATCAAGGAATTAGATTTTAAACCGCATGATAGCCTCGGGTGCTCCTCAGACGGACCGCCGATTGCTTCAACTAGTCGAGAATACTTGGAGCTGAAGGTTACTACAGCATCTTCCGAGCCCCCAGAAAATCTTCCTAAATACTCAGGGGCTGGTGATCCCGACTTTCCATTCTGCATTTTTGAGCCACGTACTGCCAATGAGTTTTACGCTCTTATTGACCGGCTCGCCGCTGATGAGGCACAAAATCCACCACCGGCATCTTCTGGATCAAGTAAATCAATGATCAAAAGCGAAGCACTTTTGGAGCAACTTGACTGTTCGTCTAGTCATGAGTACGAATTTGAGGATGTACAAATCAAAGTATGTTCATTGGAACATAATAAGGCCGATGACAAGGAGGTGGAGGAACAGATAAAAACAAATCATACGGGTCAAAATAATGAGCTCCAGGAAATTGAAGGTGATCCTGGTTCGTAGGTAATGGAGGAATATTGGAACTTATATCTGACTTTTCAGAAATCTTTCATTCCTTGTCAAAATCTCTCCCGTCCCTTTCTCTTTATACATATGCTTATTTATTTAGAGATGCTTTTTTGTCTATAGTTCTATCACTTCTCCATTTATATTCTGTGTGACTCCCCCGCGCTTTCAAAGGCTCTCAAACGAATTCTTTCAATCTTTCTTCGATGATTTATGCAATGACTTTAACTATAATGACCACTTTTATGCTATTAACTGCCATTCCAGTGTGCCGAAGTTTTTCGGTGCATGCCTTTCGCGTCTACATCAATTTTCAATTTAATACTTTCGATGGCTCTTTTAATTCTCCCCTTTTGGTCCCCTCTCCACATACAACCTACATCCAGAAACTGTGTTCACTCCTTTCCTTAAAAAATACTTTTATATGTTTGGATAATAAAGAAGCTCTCACTTTGTATAGCTTCTCTTAGTTCATCCTTCGGCAACACGGCCTGTCATCTTTATACCCTAATTGACAACTGGAGAAGTTTTTCCGCATTTCTCTTTCAGTTTCAGTTAACCTTCCCTCCTATGCAGTCACCTCATTCATTTTCATCTTATAACCAAGATAAAGGGAAATATTTTTAGCTCTTTATCTTCTGTCCCAGTATTCATTATAATCTTTCTGATCTCTCACATGAGAAACCGACTTTCTTTCATTGTACAGATTTTGTTTCATAGCGGCCAATATGCCTCCTCTTTCTTCACTCTCTTTCCCTAAATATGCTTCAAATGTTGTAAATGCTTTCTTAAGTTGAAGTCTTGGGATCTAACTTTCAAACATTTCTGTGACTCACCTTGAAGGTCGCATTACTTATTTATGGCGCAAGCACGCACATATACATACATGTATGCATTTGTATATGTATATATATTGGCCTTGTTTCCATCACACTCCATTTATAATGTTTTTAAGACGCGCCAATTCTGTATCTAGTTATCAATATGATTTGGCTATGTGTTAAACCCACATTCATATACAACCATTGCCTTTAAAGCCTTTGTGCACGCAGCATCGCTTGTCTATTCTCCCTGTCGTCAAATAATAATATCATTTTACTATAGCTAAACGGTTTTTATTACTTACTAGTAGGAGTCGCGATTGAGTTACAAATAAGTTCAGGAGGGATTGATTGCTTACTTTCCCTGCAATCATGTGAGTGAGTCTCAGGATGGCATTGCATTCAACTTAGTCTTGCCTTCCAAAGGCTATTTTCATTCAAAGTGGATTAACGTTTCAACCTGGTCTAGGTTTTATCTACAACCCTAATGGGAATCGAACCCAGGTAGTGTATTGCAAATTTTCTATATTGTATCACCGCGCCACAGTTCCCAGTAGATCACAGAGCAAACATGCATTTCAATAATATTACTAATTAGCAAAACAATAAAATAAAAGGAATAAAAAATTCGGTTTGGACAAAGATACAACAAAAAGCACCAAAATTCACATAACAAATGCGTCACATTAATTTAATTGTTGTGAAGACTCATTTTGTATGGAAGTAGATAATGAGATTCGGAGGTCAATTTCATCAGGACGCCTGCTTATTCGCGTTGCACTGCAGACCTTTAGCATTAATATGTTGTTTAGGTTAATGCGTTCCACGAGACATCTTCCTAGGTTTCGGGTGAAGACGGGCTGAGCTTTTGTTCGTTATGTGACGAGCATCGTCAGGGCTGGTATTATTTTTCTGCAAAGCCTCGGGTTAAAATAAAGTCAATAAGACTGATCGGCTTTTTTCTTTATGTTAGATACGATGAGGAACTGGGTTTCGATGAAGCTCTTGAGATAACATTGTTAGGGGGACTAATTTCGTATGAAGTGAATGAAGAAGAGATTCGTTGGTCGATCTCACCAGATGAGGACGGATAAATCTCGTTATACTGCAGCCGTTTGACTTTTATACAATATTCAAGCTGACGCAGTCGATTAGACTTCCTTGCTCGCTTCAGGTGAAAACGTGCTGAGCTTTCGTCCATCATATGATTGACATCATCAGAGCTGGGTGTCATTCTTGTAAAAGTCTCATGTTAACACGAGGGTAAGGACATTATCCGGCTCTATCTTACTTCTTATATGGACTCAATTGAGCCAAATGAAAATAAAAAACCCAGATAGATTGATATGGAGTGGTTTGGTTAATTATCCTTCATACTGGTCCTGTTACTCTTGT